GTGGCCCCAACAGATGCCTATCTCCTCTCTGCTTTGGTTTCTGGATAATGATATCGGGCAGCAAATGAAAACTCGTGGCATACGGTGAACTGCTGCCTTTATAGAGGTGAAGCCACAGTGTTGTTCTCACCTCTGTTGCGTTGCCTAATGGGGGGGGGTTCATGCATATAAATTCCAGCGTATTCTAGCAGATTTCAGAGCAGGATCGGATGGAAGAAATGCGCTTTCTGAGGGCCTTACTGTGTCATTCCACTGTCTGCCCTGCTGTTGCTTCTGTTTTGCACAAATGTTAATGATGGGTCAGGTTTTTTTTAGCAAAGGTGTTTATCTTGCCTAGAGAGCCAAAAGCAGATCAATTAAGCTTTGAAAAAAAAAATAGATGGAAAAGTGCGGGAATGGTTGCCCTCTGCCCAGTCCTTTCTAACAGAACTGCCACTTCATCCTCCAGCTGTGCAAGTGTAACAGTACTTCTTATTCATCTGGTGGTACAACCTAAATTACATTCTCAGTGGCTAAATACTGGATTTTTTTCATATATCATTGCATCTTACTAGTTCCCTTTTGCTGAATGGATTAGACTTTAGTATCCTCTGATTATAACTTGACAAAACCTCAAAGCACAATAAGGAGCTAATGAACACGTCAGAATTAAAATCACTTGTCTTGGTTAGAGGCAGCGAACCTTGTCTAAAGTTTCAGCGTGTGCTAAAGAAAAGGGAACTTTGTGGAGTCTCGGAGCTTCCTGTTTAATTCAAGGAGCAGTTTCAGAATAAAGGCATAGTAATAGTGTGTGCACATAGAGCGTTAATTCCTTCTGGGTGACAGTCCTGGCTGTTTTAACTGATATTCCTGGGTAGTAAAGAGCCCCTCAGAATTACGTCTGGTTAATTTTTCTGAGGCTATGGGACTTCTGGAGCATCTGGCACCTCAAGTTTGAAGGCACTAGAGCTGTCTAGGCCAAATGCATCAGCCATTCAGAGAATTAGATTAAGACAGAACAGAACGGAACCTGTGGCAGAGTTGGTCAAATCCCAAAGTGAAAAATTAAGAGATTAGATTTGGTGTGGAGACTACTTAACTGCAGCAGTCCTAGAAGATGTGTTACTAAAGGAGGAATTGGAAGATTGCAAAAACCCTGCCTGCTTCACTAATAATGTTCCAAGATGACTTTCAAGCTAAAGATATAACGTCTGCAATTGGAAAGCCAGCCTTCATGAAACAAAAAGGAAAAAAGCAAAACTGGAAATTAAGAGAATGAGAGAATCAGAATAGCAAGAGATCAGAATATATTTTTATGATGAACTACAAGCAGGAAGCCTACCAGCCTGTGTCTAGTGGGAGGACTGGGTACACGTAGCAGCTCTGTGCTAAGCAGGGCTGCTCTTCTCCCTCCATTGCGTCCAAGTCACCTCCATCTCCCCCATGAGGGGTTTCCTCTTCTCCCCTAGTATCGACGCCCTTGTGTTTTGGGGTGGGAAGGTGGCAGAGCCGCTTGCTGTGAGACAGCAACCCTTGCTAAAGCACAGCCTGGCAGGCCCTGGCCCATCTAGGCCGGGGGATGAGCTGTCCCCAAGCAGGCAGGGACCCGTGCCCAGCTCTGGGCTTCAAGCAGAAGGGAGGAGCCAGATTTTTGCCAATGTTTTACTGTTGACAGCTAAATGCCCAGAGGATGACGTGACTGATGAATTGGGATCTTAAACAGCTTTTTATAATGAAAAAAACAACCCAAAGTATTGCTGTTTCCCATTAAAAGCCCCTTTATGAACTTTATCTTGCTGTGATAAGGGCTGCTTCTAAAGAGCCAAGGTTGCTGGCACAACCATTGTGGCAAGAATTAGCAGACACCCCGATTGACAACAAACCGTTGTCTACAGCATCTTTATAAGGCGATTTAAAGAAATGGCCAACAACTCAAAATTAATGCAAATGAGTGCAACTTCACACATTCTGAAAGGATTAGAACATCATTAATGTAGGCATTAAATATTTAAACAATATCTATATGAAAGAATTATGAGCCTTTGAGGCTTGTCTGTGTTTTATGACCACATTGAAGCAGTTGTAATGGTATTTTTTAGGCTGAGACCAGGCAATGTTGTGGGGTTTGTTTTTGTTTTTCTTTTAAAATAGCAGACAATGACCACATGCTGAGCCACCAACGTTCTCGCCAAAGGTTACAGTGTGCCCTAAGCTGCTGCTTCGCAGATTTCAACTCCAGTGGATGCATCAGGTTAGAAGAGGAAGGGTAGTCTGTGAACATGCTCACGTCTGTTGAAAAGCTAGCCAGAATAACCAGAGCGAGGTGATGAGATTCAATCTGTCGCTGACCTCTGGAGTCAGAGATGGTCCCACAAGTGCTTTATGTTCCTTGTAGGAGTCGGCCTGCTGGAGAGCAAATAACTTTTTCCTGGCTATAGCAGACGCTGTCTGCACACGGGCTGAAGGCTCAGCCTGCCCAGGTCAGGTCATGCTGCCTGCGCAGACCTTGCTTTCAGCTCTCTCCCTCTGCTTTGCCAACAACTGCCCATCTTGTGCTTGCTCTCCTGAGGGTAGCTATCTGTCACCTCTCATGGTCTTATTCAACCTGTAGCTGTTCAGGGTTTCAATGCAGGAGCTTGTCAGTTCAGTCTTAGTGGAATAAGCAAGTTTTAGCTGTCAACAAAACATGAAAAAAGAGGGGGAAAAAAGTGATATTTGATGGAGTAATTACACCAGGCTAATAAGTAAGACTATAAATTTTTTGGTTTATTAATTATATGACAACTTTGGAAAACCAGGTGGTTCTCTGCTACTCTTCATTTAATGGGCTATCACAGATTTGATTTGCAGCTGACTACTTCAGAGGAGCTGAAATGAGAGCAGGTATCACCTGAAGGACAGTGCAGTTGGCCACCTTTTAGGAGTCAGGGTCCCTTCACGAGCTCTTGCATCACAGACCCAGCTCTGCCAGACTTTGATTTCTGTGTCTTGTGCCATTCAGTGCTACACAGTTCTCGCTGCTGGGGGCTCACTTGCCAAGTTCTGACCTATGCTACGTTATAGGAATAAACAGATTAAATTCTAGAGCCCATATTATATGGGGAGTCAGATAGTCTTGGATAACTTTAAAAAAAAAAAATGGAAAAAGATCTATGGAAGTGTGTGCTCCAACAGTCTCTTGTATGAAAAGCCACTTTTACGCCCACTGCAAACCTGTCAGGCTGTCTTCTCTTCCCTTGTCTATACTGTAACAGCATCTGTCTCTCTCAATGCACATAGAAGAGGCTATCATTAAAAGACTTTATATAAAGCGTAGAATTAGCTTAGAAACTGTAGGGGAAAATCCAACAGATCAAAACTCACGTACGTGTATTCGCTTATATAATATTAGCATTTTGTCATAGTAAATGATTCTGATTCTAACATTCTTGTAAATACGAGGCCTTGAACCAGAGCTTTGTATAGACAGAAGTGAATTTAGTGTGAGCTGCTGGTGCAGTCAGGCAGGGAATGCTTGTTCAGACTGGGGGTTCATTGCCTGCGTAATTGGTCCTATCTGTGCTTTATTTACACGTCTAAATTTCTATCTGAGCAGTCTGGTGCTGTGCCTTCACAGCTAGGCCACGTTTAAGCTAGCTAGACCAGATATTGATACAAATATAGTCGTATACCTGCTAGAAGTTAAGTGAAAGGTTCAGATTTTTTGCAGTGCTCCAGAAGAACCCGCCAGAAACCAGGCCTTCCCCCTCTCAGCCTCTCTGAATGTCTTCCCTTGTCCAGTCACAAATGCTAGAAGGGTAAAATGATGAAGCATGAACAGGAAGCACGTTTCAGCTGATGGAATCGTTTGCAGAGAAAAGCTGAATGTGATCAATTCCCAAAACAGCTGGAGATGAAGCCAGTTATTTAAATGATATATGCAAAATAATATGAACTTTGAATATCTTTTTAGCCTGAGAAGTTCATTTTAGAAACGCTCCCTGCTTTGCACAAGCACCATGGTCTAGGAAACCAAATCTCCTGGTCGTATATATTTCACTTTATTAAATATCGTTATTTTATTTAATTGAATTATTTTCTTTTTAAATTCTTAAAGGCAAAACCTTTCTGATTAGTTTAAATCTGTGATTGCTGGTGCTTGAGGATCCTGACAGCATGAGCAAGGGCTGAGCCGCTCCAGGGCTGTTCATATAAAGACCCTTGCTGTGATGATGGATGAACTCTCCAAATGGGTTTGAATCTCACCAAAAAGCATGTGGCAGCTCAGGAGTTCAGCCTGTCTTGTGTCCAATAGACCTATCTCCGACTTTACGCTAGTAGTTGTAAGAACCCATCAAACTCAAGATGTCAATTGTTATCTTCTAGGCGCTGTGTGATCTTAAAGGCTATTGAGAGGCTCATTTGAAAAATACAATAGCATTGCTAAAACAAAGGAAGCTTTGACATGGAAGTCTACAATGGGATCTTGTCCCCGCTTTCCGCTCCTAGTGCAAAGCATACTTCTTAACCGCACCATTGTCAATTCAAGTAGAAAGTGGCATGTGTGTCTAACAAAGGGGGAAAAAAAATCAAAGTGAATCAAGACAGCAGTGAAAATAATCGCCTGCATTATTCCTTGCAGGGAATTTTAAAGAGGAGTGAAGTGAAGAGCCTACTTGTAGCTTAATGCGTTTTTGAAGGAGCTCAGATACTATAGCAGGGAGGATTGTATGGGAGAGAGTCACTAGAAGACACGCCGCTAAAGTCAGCGGCGAGATCTCTATTGATGTTAGGGAAGTGTTACTGAGGCCCTCGAGGCTTTGCTGGCAAGCCACTTACTCTGCTAAGTGCCGAGAGCCGCGTAGTGAGAAGCGCAGGAGGGAGGAGATGGTGGGCTGGGATTATTTCAAATGCAGCTGAACACATTCTGCCTTCTGTGCGCCAAACCTTTGTTTCTTACCAGCGTTTCTGACAGCTTGTTTCAAGTGCTTAAAATAAACTCGTTGTCTAGCTGTGGTTTGATTAAGTGAGTTGCTGCTGAAATGGTGTGGGTGAGTAGGTAGCTTGAGATCTCTTCAGCCCAGCTTTACAACGAGCTACGGCAAGGTACCTGAGGGCTTGGCCGCTGCTACGTTAGCCCGTGGCTGCAGTTTCCGGGGAAGCGTGCCTTACTCTGCTCAGCAGCTGCAGTGACAGGGAGCACTGCGACTGCAAAGCGCTGGCTTGAGCGTGAACTTCAGATACTGTGAGTCATCAGCGTTTCTCTTCTTGAGGCTAGTCGCTTTTTGCTGTTTTCCGCTGAGGACTTTGTGATCTGCCACACGGCAATACGTACGCGGCTTGGCCGGAGGAGTTGGTGGGGGAAAGCAGGAGCATGGCGAGGGGAGCAGGAATTTTATCAGAAAGCACGGAGCTGGGCTGTTGGCGCCTTTGCAGGGTCTTTGTAAACCGGCCTCTTTGTAAGAAATGAATTTCCTTATGTTATTTTATATGCCCAGGCCTGAAATGTGAAACCTCGCACCTGACAGCAAGGATGGCTCAGACGGACCAAACCTACGGCTGTCAGAAACTGCGTTTCACGGGTGCTAAAGAGTTTCCTTGGGGTAGGCAGGGATGCAGAGGTGGCAGCGTTGCTTAGTGTGCTCATTTTCATCGACGCAAGTACAGAACGAGGTGGGATGTAGAACAGTAAGATGCGAGTAAAAGCCCAGCCTTCAGCTGCTGAGCTTTTTTACTTGTTTGAAGAGGGTCAGGTGCTACAAAAAACAATTATATGACTAGTTTCATCAGTTTCTAAATCTATTGCTGTCTACTAGCAATCTGGTCCCTGTAACTACAGGAACTATTAAGTGACCAGTACACGATATAATTAAATACAACATATTAACGATCCCCTACATCAATTTGTGATCCTTTAATGAGTGACAGAACCGCATCACAACTGTCTGAATTGGCTGTGTTTTAGGTTTAAAAATTATTGCCTCTGTTTAATGGTGAATTGATTAATGACGAATCAGTGCATGATAGTCCTGTTAAATGCTTGATAGAAACTGCCACAGCAGTCTAATAAGGACATCAGCACAGCTCAGCTGAGGTGCCGACGACGGTTATTTCAGCTCCTGCGTGAACAGCAGCCGCTAGGAAGCGGAGGTGTGGAGCTCAGCTCTCCCGCTGCCAGCCGGGGGTCTCCTCTGTTCGTCGGCCCGTTCCCAAGCACAGGCAGCACAAGGAGCTGTGGATAAAGCAGCAGCGACGTCTGAAAGCACGTTGTTTACTGTCAAGTCAGCTGTGAGATTTTACATGATCTATTGAAAACCCTGTGCTGGGTGAAGACAGAAAGCTGCAGGTTGGGAACAAAGCTTGCTGTAACTTGAAACAATTACGTAAATATTTACTTGTGCACATCTGTTCTTTCTGTGGGTGGCTTGCAGATGTGGCCACGAGCCCTCCCTGCAGCCCTGGCCGTTCCTCCTCCCTCCGCGCTTAGCACGAGCCCCAGAGCCTGTCAGTTTATTTGCCCGCTGCTGCTTATAGCGCACCGTGCAGACTCAGCAATATGCTGTTTCAAGTTAGACATTAAGAAAAGGTTTCTAGCTGCAGGATAGTTGGAGGAATAAATTGTTTGAGGAAGCCATAAGGGTCTTTATCACACGAGGTAACAGACTTTGTCAGGAATGGTTCCTGCCTTGGGGAAGCGAGGGGACTTCTTGGGGAAGAGCTGGGAAAGCTCTCCCAGCTCTTTCTAGCCCTAGTTCCTTTGAATTTGTCAAATGTTTCTTGAATTCTCTCAGTTATGTCTGTAAAAGGAAAAATCCATTTCTGAACCTCAGTAAGTAGCGTGGCCTCAAGCAGAGGGCGCTGGCTGATACCCAGAAAAAAGGAGCTTCAGAGTCAGTGGGCCTGGTGTCTGTGGTGAAAGCACCTCGGGGCTCCGCAGAGCCGGGGGTAAATTTGGACAGAGTCTTTTTGTGCTTTGCAAAGCCTGGTGATTGGGTTGGGTTAAGCTCCTTATTCTCTTTGGCTGTCTGTTCTATTGCAGCGTAAAACCTTGCTGCAAAGTCGTCATTTGCTCCTGGCATCCTGAAACGCGGGTTCCACAGCGCGAGGTTGCGCTGTGCCGTGCCCATGTGCCAGCTAGGCAATGCCGGCTAACGCAGCTGTGAAACAAAACCACGAGGGCCAGCCAGCAAAACCTCCCTCCTTTACTTGAAGCAGAGGAAGCTGCTCAGACGTCTCCTCTCAACAAAGCCACCTCACATTGCTCTGTACCTCCCAGAGGGGAGTTGTAGGTAGCTCTGATTTCAGGTTTTCTCAGCTGGGACGGGGATGAGGACAGATAATCGGATGGATTTCCACTCCTCAGATAGCAGCCAGATTTCCAGGGCAAAGGTTTTGTGGCGAGCGTGCAGAGCACTTGCTCAAACTAATCTTACCATCCTGATTTTCTGTGCCACTAAATCTCCAGGAGCTCAGCCCCTACCTGAAAATTGGTAGGATCTTAGTAAGATATGAGTGGGAAGGACTTCTGAAGCAGTTTCTTGATATACAGCTCATGTTACTGTTTCCTGTTCTTAACTAAGGCAATTGGGCACTTGTGCTCTGCCAGGACAAGGGAGTTGTTTAGTGCTATTTTAATAACCTTAAAAATGCTACTGAAGTCCTACGGAAAAGCTGCCCTGAGAACTGTCTAGGGACATTTTTGCTTTCTAAATCTACTCTTTCCTAAAAGAGCTTTTACTGTGGTTGCAAAGCCCCGAGATGAGTCGAAGCTTCGTACCTATGATCCTATCTTTTCCTCAAAAGCGAACCGTCCACCTTGGCCTCTGTGCCCAGCTTACTAGGCACCTGAGGAGCCCAGATGAATTGCAGGGGAGGTCCCCAACGCTGGGACCTGCTTGGTGGAGGACGAGTGCTTTCTGGGTGCTGAGCAAAGCCGGGTGATGCCTCCCATTTGGCAGGAGGGCAGAGGGCGATGTACGTCTAGCTGCTTGAGCATGGTGAGCCGTGCTCTGCTAGGTTAGGTGTTGGTCGAGTCACTGACGCCTCACTCACAGGGTCTGGGCTCGCTGCTGGTACACAGCTGAGCCACAGCGCTCTTTTGTGCATGTCGGATTCATTTATCCAGAATGCAGGGTCCGAGGCAGGGACCGCATCTTCAAACATGCTTGTGCAACATCTAGCAGATGGGGGAGGCCTGCTCTCGGCTGGGGCCCTCCCATGGCATCGCAGCAAAAGGAGCGTTAATAATAAAGGGCAGCAATGCTGGTATTGCAGGACTTACGGTAACATTGGTCATTTTAAAGCAACGTAATCTGAGATGCACCAAGAGCTTTGAAAAGTAAGCGATGTAAAAGGCTATTTTTCCTTTGGGGCTGGCATTGCAATTTTACGCTAAATTTACTATGGTTCAGTTCATTTTTTCATTCACGTTCTTTCTTCAAGGGGGGAAGTCCCTCCCTTTTGCCTTTTTACACATACTGAAGAACTAAAAAAAGTCAAGAATTTGGGATGGAAAATGGTGAAAAAGGAATTAGATTAGATTTCTAGTACTGTATAATCTCCTCTAACTACAATGAACCTCTAAAAAGCCCTTCCAGAAATTGCCTCAAAGCTAAATAAAGCTGTTGCATTGGGAGGCTAAATATTCCCTAATAAGAAATCTTTGGTAAAGGCATTTATATACTGTTTTTCTTGATTGCATATCATTAACCACCATGCATATCTCCAGCTGACAGGTTGAAAAGCTTATCATAAGAAGCCAGAATTTGTGCTCATTTAACAATATTATGTAATGTCCTCCTTAGAGGTAACCTCCTAGCCTGGGGATGTAATTTTAGCAGAGATGATGTGCAAGAGCTGTAGGCTCAGTTTACCCCATACTGTATGCTTGCCTCTGCCAAGGCTTGTCACGCACCTCCCAGCGCTCTAAACACAAGCTATCCCTTCCACCTTTGCTTTTCCCTTCATAACACTCTGTGGCTGTCATCCCGCATTTCTGCTCCCAAAATACACATAACACAGGATAAATACATGGGCAGTGGGGAAGGAGAGAGAAGTCCGGGAGAACTGCATCTGATGCCTGCACACCGTTTTATTCTATTTCTTTCACATAGTATAGTAGGTATCTCTGTACTAGAGTCTAGAACATGACTGATTCTTGCAGAAGCATCCCATGCAAATTTGAGCCTAGGAGAGATGCCCAAGGGTATCTCTAGGTTTCTGGGAAGTTTTACAGCCTGGGTTGTTGCAACTTACACCCTGCCTTGGTAGTTGAAAGTTAGCTGCCTTCTGGCTGTGGCCCCGGGTGTATGCAGTGAGCGGTATGATGCAGCACGTGCAGCTGGGAAGGACAGAGGAGAGGGTTACTGCTGTTGGGTCTGCAGGATCTGAAAGCTGAATCCTTTGTGAAAATAGAACTGAGGCCTGATTTCTGCCTGAAAAAAGCATCGAATCCAAATGCTGAGGATCCAAGCCCTGCAGCTGTGCAAGGGCAGTTTACTTCCCTGTCCCCAGTAGATCCAAGGAAATGTTTCAGCCTTTGTGGTGAGGAGCAAATGGGTGAAACTGGTTCCTACCTGACTGAGGAGCAGGCTGTGACTCTGGCCGTGAGGCAAGGCTCGTAATGCTTGCAGCTGCTGCTGACTGGCAGGGAGCAAACTGGGTGAGAAGCTTCCCTCATCATCCGCCAGCTCTGGCCGCCCTTTTCTAGCATGAAGCACGACTGTGCACAAAGGCAGTCTGGAGGCTTGCAGCTTCTTGCCATCTGTTTGGTATTTGACATCTTGGTATTTGTTTCTTTGCTTTCCTACTGTTGATGCAAAGTTGTTTTGCTTTGCATATATATAAATATATATATATACTTGGCTTTGATCGGGACATAGCTTCTCCAAACAGAACTGCCCTGATTAAATCAGAATGGTGACAAATTGAAAGGGTTCATGTCTGATTTGTAAGACTTGTACAAGCATTAAAGAAACGGGGGAGAGAAATATCAGAAAAAAAATCCAGTTCTGTTTTCAGACAGTGCATCGAGTATTTAAAAAAAAAAAACCTCCAAACCCAATATCATTAGTATTTCCCAAATATAAAGGGTGTTTCTCTTATTTACTCATCCACATTTTAATTAATGCCACATCAGAAGAATTCAGTCATCCTAAGAGCCAAGCAAAAATGGTTTACTGTTTCCTTATCAAATAATACTGCCTCTTGCTGACACAGCAGACTTTATCTTTAGCAACAGGTGCT